GTCTATGAAGGAAAACGTGTGGTGATCATTTTGGGAATGAGACAGCATATCTGTTACTATTGGGCTTTATAAAAATATCTAATAATGAACCTTAAAATTTGTTTGTCCATGATATCTAAAAATAGGTTGGTCATTTATTACTTAGAGGAAACATGAGCAACCTTAGGAAAAGTATCTTCTAATGTCAGAGTATAATCACCTTATTATTTCTAGAAAATAAGCAAATAATTTTGTATGGTATATATCTTCTTCTTGAAATTTGAGTTTGATTCTAATTGGCTACTGAAATCTCCTCTTAACATCTACCATCTCATTAAAACAGCTCTTTCTATAAAAGGTTTTACTGCATTATTCCTTTAAATATTGTAATTTTTCCTTCTGTTTTCTTGAGAATGATCTGGGGTTCCTTCTTAACCAAAAATTAATACTTAATATTATTTTTCCTAATTTAAAATATTTTTACTGAAATTAGAATTCTGTAATTTAATGCATTTTATTCCTATAACTCCATGTCTTATTATGCTAAATATTTGAAGAAAATATTTTTCAGCAAATATAGCAGGGCCCAGTGGCTCTCCTTCATCAGACTGACAGATACCACATGATAGTCATCCATCTTCAGGAGACTTAACCACTCAGTCTGTGAAAATGCCCACATGGACATGTTAAAGTTCCATAAACTATGCAGAGTGTCATTAAGATCGCGATTGACGGTCTTCTTTCCATACTGACCTCCAACGGTACTCTCCACTTTAGCACAGAACACATCACCTTATTCCGAGCTGATTTCAACAATGCGCTGCTTTGAAAATAGCAGCTCAGCAATCTTTGATAAAAATCAATAAAGTTCTCAACACTGCAATGCTTGATTGATAGAGTAAGATTATCACAAATGCGCACAGAACCTACCCAGAAGCTGGCTGTTTCCTTGTTTTAATCTGAGCTGACAAATTATCTTGTCTTTCACTGCTGTCTTAGAGTTTGGTTTCATGAAGTGGTCTCGTTTGTGTGTTATGAATGGTCATTTTTATTGCTTTTCTGTCCTTGAGTGTCATGAACATGGAGACTATAGCAGACATCAGAAGGCTGAGTGTTTATTCTTCACTATCTCTCGGTATTTTTAGACAATCTTTAATATAAGAAGTCTGGAGGTCGACCCCTCTTGTCATGAGGGATCTAAGTGTCCTAATGGACTACTCCCAGACCCTTCTCTGCGGGACCTACACATCTATTCATCAGGATGCACTTGACAGCGAAGGTCTGTCCACGCACAATGAGGTGAAGAACACAGACAACAATTGGCTTGTTTTTCTCTTAAGAATTTACAATGAGTAAAAATTCTGATTTTATTTAAGAGATAAAAAGTTTACAACTTTAATACCACATGAATTATAGTAACATTTTCATCCCTGTTTGTTTTGCATTCACAGTTAGGCCATACAATTGATTTTTTTCTGGAAAATTCTGTTTAGTTGTTTCTAGACCCTGTAAGTTTAGACTGATAGAGGAGAGGAAAGCTGTGTCAGATGACATGTCTAAAAGATCATGTTTTCTACAGTTCCATTTTAAAATCTGCTTACGATCACAGTTCTGAAATCAGACTCTGGGGAACACTGGCTGAGCTCATTCCATGGTATCCCCTACACATACTCTGGTTTCCTTTGTCTTCAAAGTAATTGAAATGGTTTTTTTTAAGTGTTTTCTGAGATCACTTACCAAGATAGGAATGAAATTTGACACTTTTGTGAAAGGTAGTTTAGAGGTAAAACTCCTGTTTGGGTCCATATATATAGTTGCTGTTCAAAAAGATGTAATAATTCCTGTACTTCAATATCTATTAAAAAGGAAAAAAAAGGAAAAGAAAGAAATAGGCAAGGATTAGAAACAGAAATGTATACAGAATTACAATTATTCAAACTTGATGAAAAATGCCTAATAGATTCATATCTAAATGTGAATGCAGCAAAGCTGGCCGGGCACGTAGTAATAGATGCTCAGGAAACATTATCTACGGGATGAATATGCATGCTCTACCTTTCACAATGGTAAAGAGTTGTTAAACAATACAAATCTGTAAACCAAGACAGAGTAGCAGTTAACTAGCAATGTGAAGTAGGAATATGAAATATCTGTATTCTACATTCTTTTCCAAGTAACTTATTTTGGTTTTGTTTGTTTTTTAATAATTTCACACCTGTGATAATATTACTCTATTTATATGTCTACCTCTCTCCCCTCATTTCAATTCCTCCCATGCTCTGTCTATTCCCTCTCAAATTAATTATCTTTTAAAAATTTTATTGCTACACACACATGCACATACATGTACATATGTGCATGTGTGTCTACCATACTAGTTCCATTTACTGTGGTTCATATGTATATATTTTACAGCTGACCATTTGGGAATGGATAACCATATGGGGTCTCCTCCCTGCAGAAGAATATCCTTTTCTCTGCAGCCATTTATTGCCTACAGTCCTTCATCTAGAGTGCACCTTGTCCCATTTCCCCTGTCTGTGTTGGCATATCAGCAGGAGGTGTCACCAAGGTGGTCTTGTTTCCATGTAGCTTCCCTATCATACACTATCTTATAGTAGATGCCCTGCTTCTCTAGCTCTTAAAATGTCTTTGTCCCATCTTCCAGACTGTTCCCTGACCTTACATGTACAGATTTTGATGTAGGTGCATCAGCTGGGGTTGTGCATGGTCAGCTGACCTCTGCATTTTGGCCAGTTGTACGTTTCTGAGATCTCTGCTGTACACAGAAGCTTCCTTAATAAGGGTCTGAGCTCGGCATGTCTGTACTTAACACTTATTCTGTTTGGGAAAGTGACTGCTGTAGGTTCTCTACTAGGTTCCATGACCTCACATGCTTGGTAGTGGGCTAGCCTTAGAGTACCAAGCATAAATTTCTGATGTGGGATTCCCTTCTGTATGCTGTGAATATGTTTTATTACCATTGGTTAATAAAGAAGTTGCTTTGGCCTATGACAGGGCAGAACAGAGCTAGGCAAGGAAACTAAACTGAATGCTGGGAGAAAGAAGGCAGAACCAGGGAGATATCATATAGCTGCCAACGGAGAAAGACGCCAGAACCTTACCAGTAGGCCACAGTCTTGTGGTGGTGCATAGATTAATAGAAATGGGTTAATTTAAGATGTAAGAGCGAGCCAGAAATATGCCTGAGCCATCAGTCAAACAGTGCTGTTATTAAAATAGTTTTTTATGTGATTATTTTGGTCTGGGTGGCCAGGAAATGAATGTGCAATCTCTGTTGACAAATTTCTTCCTTTTGAATGCAGTTTGAGCCCAGTGACATGGCTTTTATTACCTCAAATATGTATCAAGTTTATTGCCCCCCTTGAATTTGTCTTTCTTGGCTGGTCATTTTTTGTGGTTCACGAACTTCACAGATGGATAGTACTATAAATTGCTTTGCTCCCTTGGCAGCTTCCATAGAACCTCCAAATACAATGAAAGGTGGTCCTCTGAGAGAAGTTTCCAGGTCAGTCCCAGCTTGATTCTTTCCAGCCCTATGTCTAAAGTGTATGTCGTCTTCAGCTTTGTGGTCTTACCTTCAAGTTCAGGGGAGCAACCAAGGACAACAGCATTAGCCGCCTTCTTTTGGAAGTCCGCCTTCTTTTGGAAGTCATTGGTTCCCTGACCAATGACTGGAAGGGAGGTGTGGCACAGGGTTTTTGTTAGTCTATGGCACTTGTGGGAAAACAATATCACCCTCTTAGCATAATTTAAATAATTTAAACTGTATGCACATATATACACATAGACTTACATATATATTTTATATGTATTTTTGAGGAAACAAAATGATATATTTCCTATGGCTTTTGCAAACCTCCTTAGTGTTATTTATCCTTCCTTGCTCCCACTCCCTCCACATCATCCCTCTCCTCTCTTCCCTAGTAAGAGTCCCTCACCCCATTTTTTAATCCTCTTAGGGTTCCTACTCCTGCTGGCCCTGGCCTTTCTACTTTCCTGGTTTCTGAACTCACTCATGTCCAAAGATTCAAAGCTGAGATCTATAAATAAGAGAGGGATATACAGTGCTTCTAGTTTGAGATAAAACCGAAAAGGCAAAATACTTTAGAACAAAAGATGGCTCCTGTCAACAAAGCTGCATTTTTAATAGCAAGCCCGACATAAGACTGTATCCATTGTTATCTCCAGTGAGAGTGCTTCTCCCAACATGAAACGCCAAGAAGCGTGTATTCTGAATGAAGTTGTTGGGCAGAAGGTGTAATTTCCCCCTCCCCATAAGCCTCCCTGGCAATAGTGTTAGAGAACTCCGGAAGGGAAGAAGTGCTGACCAACTGTCATGCTACTGACACCTTGTTAATGTTTGTAGTTCACCCAAAATATTAATTATTTTCTTCCTACAGTTTGTCTATGTTGCCCAGAAACCACTGACTTCCTGGAATTTTTATTAAGAATTCCATATTCTTGCCATGTTTCTCAGATACCGTGGCTTCTGCCAATAAATCCTAATAAATTTTTCACTTTTCTTTCAGTAACATCCTAGAGAATCTGATTCAGACTCAAATTAATCACCGATCATGTTAATGGCTCCTAGGAGTTTACTTCCGATACCCCTTATTATATTAAATCAAACTTGATGTGAGCTGGATTATTGCTCCGTTGGGTTTTCATAAAAGCACTGGTATTTAATATAATTTATGCCAAGTTTTCTCCTCATATCTTTGCTTATGGTATGCTTTTATTTTAAAACAGACATTTTTTGCAAATGGCACTCTTCAATATCTATCACACCTTTAAAATATTTTATAGGTGAAATTTCACAGTAAAATATGACATATTTATTATACTTGCACAATAATGAACAGGAATCACTTAACTTACAATCAAAATATTAAGATTCTACATAGTTCTGAAAATTATTTGTACATGTGTACATCTTGCTTATTGAAAAGCTAGCACTGCGACAGCAGAATGACAACTTACAGTGTTTTCTTTTGCAGCTCTGCAGCAAAGGGGCAGCTCTGGGGAAGCCGTTTGACGCACATGCCGAAGACATAGCAAGCGTGGCCAGTTTCATCGAGACCAAGCTTGTCACTTGCTACCTGCGGATGAGGAAACCCGACCTGGCCCTGAACCACGCACACAGGTAAAATGAGCACTAATGTCTACAGGTGAGAACTACACACACACATCTGGGTTTACCTGTCACTTACCACTGTGTTTCAGTTTAAAGAGAAAACACCCAAAATTACATGTTGCCTGATTCGCGAATCTGAGCAAATCCTGAAGCACACAAGGGGAAGTCTCGGTTTCTAGAGGAAGAAGAGACCCAGAAGTAATTGTTCACAATACAAGAGCAAACGGCTTGAGCAAAGAAAGGGAAAAGAGAAAGTAAGGAAGAGCCGTGCTGGTGAGGGAGCACACGGGAACTCGGACTGTGGATAGCTGGTGTCAGTACGGTTGGTTCAAAGGATGCTGATGTCCTCCAGACAGCATTCCAAAGGCATGAAATAGCAAACACAGATAAGAATCTCTGTCCTTTTTGTGTTTGTAGCCTTCTGTGGAATTCTGTGTGGTTTTGTAACCGTGTGGGTTCCTAGAATCTCCATGGTTACTGGGCCTACTTTGCAGGCTGTGAAAATGTACCTGCCTCATAGTCAATTTCCTAAAGGCCCTATTCTCACAATGAATAACCCAATGAAACCTGCAGCAAGGATGAATGGATTGTGCTGTACTGTTCAGCTGTCCCTTCTTGCCTGACTCACAGCAATTTGCTGGGATCTTTTTGTTTCCCATTTTCTAATCTTACCTCCCTTGGACTATTTTGTAGACAAATGACAAAACTAATGTCAATATAAAAACCAAACCTTCATCTTAGTAGTCACTATGGCTCTTAGCCAAAGTGAGTTACGTCCATTACAAGCCACACTGAGGAGGATGGAAATGCTACACCCTGTCTTCACAGCTCTGAGACTGGGCTTGATTGACAGCAAGGACCTACAGACAGCAGAAGCACTTACTTTGAACTTCATAAGATCACCTTCTTGAAAAAATTCTCCTATGTAAGGAAACTGCAGAGTCTAATAAAAACATATTCCTTTTGACTCCAAAGGAAAATTCTTTCTTCACTAGACTATCTAGCAACATTTTATGCAGTCAGGAGTCCCAATATCAGGAAACATGGCCTTTCAAAGAATATTGTTCTATTTCCATTTGAAAGAGGCAGTAATGGAAACACATATTTCAGGATGTCAAAAATATTAAAATGTCAGGATTATTTGGGAGTACAATGTGAAAAACTCATTACAATTAAGACTAGTTTTCTAAAAATCCATAGGTGTATGTAAGCAATAATAAGCTGAGATGTGAATAAAGTAGTTATATGTCACCTCCTTCATGCGTTATCACACATTAAAGGAAACCACTAAGAAAAATATCTTTTATATGTCAATAAGGATCACATTTAATCATGAAAGTACCTCAAATGGTATGGTCATGTAACAATTCTGTTCAGTTATGAAAATATGCAATGAGAATAAAGAAATAAGAATCTGTAATTCAAACAGAAGCACAAGAAGTTTTCACTATGTTGATGGTGGAAGAGTCAGGTTACTGTTTAGAATACGACATTTTCCCTTTTAAAAATAGGGAAGCTGTTTCAAAACCTTGAACATTACTGGGATAAAACATGATGGTGATGATGATGATGATGATGATGATGTGAAATATTGAGATTGACTTTTTGTCTACTGTTTTCTGCTGTAAAAGACTTTGCATTTCCATTGCTAAAGTTGAGCATTAAGTAATAAATGTGATCCAATAGAGATTAATGTTGACCGAGGTTTCTGTCCTGCCCAGTCCCGCAGTTGTTCAGTCTCAAAGAAATACACAGAGGCCTACATTAATCATAAACTGCTTGGCCTATTAGCTCAGGCTTCTTATTAACTTATAACTTGTATTAGCCCATAATTCTTGTCTGTGTTAGGCACATGGCTTGGTACCTTCTTCAGTGAGGCAGTCTCATCTTGCTTCCTCTGTGTCTGGGTCCCTCTGTGTTGACTGCAGACTGACTCTTTCCAGAATTCTCCTGTTCTCATCTACCAGTCAATACTTCCTGCCTGGCTACTGGCCAATCAGTGTTTATTTAAAATATAAGTGACAGGGTAGAGACCATTGTCTAAATGCTGCCCAATGTGTGGATGACTACATCCACAGAAAACCTGAGAGAGCTTGGGAATTGTTGACACAAAATAACAATGCTAAGCATGGCTTCTAGGTAGCATTTTCTCAGGTGAGCTCTCTTTGCTAGAGGCAAGTGCATCTCATTTAAGAGAGGTTTCCTGACTCAGCTTTAGCTATGAAACCTGCAGCTCTTTTAAGAGACCCTGCCACTAAACACTTAAATGGTGTTGATGAATAGCTGATAGCATGCTTCTTGATGGTGGCAGGGACCTTGAAATTCAATAGAGTTGTGGCAATAAACATGGCTCCAACCAGTACCTCTGCCATGAAGCTAGACTCTCAGAAAGCTAAGGAATGGAATGGATCTAGCCTTCAAAGCCACAGCTTTAATCCTAACCATATCACTTAGCAAATTAAAAGACTCAGGTAGTCAATGAAAGAGTAAAGACAGATTCAGATGAAGAAAACCTCTAAATGGTATAGTGTGTATTTAAAAATATATGTAGGCTTGGGAGAGAAAAGAAAAAAGAAATAAGAGAGAGAGAGAGAGAGAGAGAGAGAGAGAGAGAATAGTTGGGTGTGCTAGCACATACTTTTAATCCCAACAGTTGGGAGACAGGCAGACAGATCTCTCTGAGTTCAAGGACAGCCTGGTATACAGAGTGAATTCAAGGACAGCCAAAGATACACAGAGAAACCCTGTCTCAAAAAGCCAAAAATTAAAAATAAAAATAAAAGAAGTAGAGTTTAAAATAAAGCCATGTAAAGATGAAAAATACACAGAGAATATGGATACCATATGTTATCATGTTGTCTTTAAATTGTTTGATGGCTGAGGAATGAGCAAAAGTTGCTAAAAGATATTTGATTATTAATGTTGCTGGATTAATCCAATAGGAGCAGATGGTTCAGATGTCTGAGTTCTATACCCAGAACAGTTTCAAAACTGCTGGCTGAGATGATCAAGCCTCACAGAATATTCCATTCAGGACTTGACCATAATCCAAAATTTTCTTTAGGTTCCCTAAGATTATCAGCACCCACGATCAGCAGGAAGTAGTGTTGTAATAGGGAGCAGCGGGGCTGCATCCCCGGCACCCCTGCTGCCTGGCTAGCTTATGCCCTGAAATAACAACACACAAATTGTATTCTTTTAAACACTGCTTGGCCCATTTCTATCTAGCCTCTTCTAGGCTAATTCTCACACCTGCACTAGCCCATTTCTTATAATCTGTGTAACCCACGAGGTGGTTTACCAGGGAGATTCTAGCCTACGTCCATCCTGGGTCGGAGCTTCATCGTGCGTCTGCCCAGGAGAGGGGAGGATGGCGTCTCTGCTCCAGAGAGCAGAGCTGTCGAGTCTGAGCTCACTTCCTCTTCCTCCCAGCATTCTGTTCTGTTTACTCCTCCCACCTATGTTTTAACCTCTGAGGCCAAGCAGTTTCTTTATTACTTAACCAATGACCTTCCTACATCAAAGTAGCGTAGAAAACTATGCCCACATTCACCCCAAAAATGGATGTTTGCCTTTGTTTAGAATGTTAGTTACAAGTTGTTATGAATAATGGTCAGAAGAAAAGCTAAACAAAGGAGATTTGATTCAGAGTTCTTGTTTATAAAAAAGAGGGGGTGCTGTGGGACAATGGTCTGTGCCCTGTCACTTGTATTTTAAATAAACAATGATTGACCATTAGCCAGGCAGGAAGTATAGGTGGGTAGATGAGAACAGGAAAATTTTGGAAAGAGGAAGCAAGATGAGACTGCCTTGCCAAAAAAGGTACCAAGCCATATGGCTAACACAGACAAGAATTATGGGCTAATACAAGTTATAAGGGTTAATAAGAAGCCTAAGCTAATAGGCCAAGCAGTTTATGATTATTGTAGGCCTCTGTGTATTTCTTTGGGACTGAATGACTATGGGACCGAGCAGGACAGAAAACTTGGTCAAGAGATTAAATGTTCAATTGAGACAACAATGCAACAAGAGATAGCAGCCATTTTATTGAGCATGTCACGTGGATGGGAACTATAGAGGTAACACACATGGCAGTCACAGTAAAACGTTTCCCAAGTACCCAGGTTTAGAAAACAGAGTCTGACATATAATCAACAAATACATTTCATAAAATAAATTAATTAATCAGGATGTTTTGTTTATAAATAGCTCACAACCATTAGTTATCCTTTGCAGAATTCTGTATTGTGTCATTACCACATTGTGATAGTTGATACTAATCATGAATCAGAATTAAAATATTCCTTTTTGCATTTATTTGCATCTGCAGCATTTTTCTTTAATTGTATGTAAATGGGAGGTCTACTGCATGTATTTATCTTGTTAAACACAAAAATTGGCTTTGAAACCATCAGGTAGCCCTGCTTCTGGTAAGAATAACTGCACAGGCTTTGTGGTGTGACCGACTGCAAAAACTGAGAGCGTGAGAGTCTGAAACCAGCAGAAACACTTGAGGAGTCAATCAGCATGCATTGTTAGGGAAACAGGGGATAAGAAGCTCTAGGAACATTGTCAACAAAACTTGCTTTCTCCTTTTTCTTCTAACAAATACAAGCTGGCAAACACAGGCATCACTTTTTACTTCAACCCAGACTTACGCCTAGACACACCAGATATGGTCTCACTCCCGCAAAACAAAGCATGACGAATTACTGCATATGTGAAGAAGTAGGAAAATGAAATTAGTTCTTAGAAGATAATCGGTTTAAAGAAATAGTTTCTGGGGCTGGAGAGATGGCTCAGTGGTTAAGAGCATTGCCTGCTCTTCCAAAGGTCCTGAGTTCAATTCCCAGCAACCACATGGTGGCTCACAACCATCTGTAATGAGGTCTGGTGCCCTCTTTGGCCTGCAGACATACACACAGGCAGAATATTGTATATATAACAAATAAATATTTACAAAAAAAAAAAGAAATAGTTTCCAAGATGCCCCAGGTGTTGAGGTTGGT